TATATATATAACATAATTCTGCAACCTCCTTATGTTAACAGTATTGATAACTCTCAGCAGTAAGTCCACTGATGGACCATTACACTGTTGAACGCATAACAAATTTAGCAGTCTCGACTGACTCTAATGCCATGTGGGCAAAGGGATTACATGGGCAGAACGTGCCCCTCACCCAACCATCTGTACACACACAATCAACCATGATACCCCGTATGGGGACAACTGTTGTTCTAGCCCCTGTGAAAAAAATGATGATCAGTTACATTACAGCTGGCACAAAGCACTTGGGAGGACAGGGCTTGAACTCACCATGCCATTCTGTCTGCTGCTTAGCCGATCTTGGTTTAGATTACACCCCTCATAATAGACAATCTACCAATGAAAAAATTAATATTTAAAATAGAAAAAGTTATGAAAAATATAATAAATAAATATCCCATAAACATTTTCTAGGTTATAATTTTTTAATATACCAGCATAACTCTATTGCTAGACACAAATGGCATATTTTTTCCGACCTGGACAGGAATCTCTTGCTGTATGTTTCTTGGAATTGTCTTTCTGTCTGCCATTGTCTGGCTTTCGGCCCTTCTTATAGCTCTCACCATATCTGAAATTTAAGCACATTTAATCTAATTATTAGGCAATTAGCAACCTTAGCAAAAAAAAAAAAGCAAATGTTTCACTATATAAAACATTTGCTTTTTTATTTAAGTTTTTATTTTATTAGCACAAGACTTCAGCACATAAAACAAGACATTATAGAATCTTTGGTAAGACAAATAAAAAGGGAAACCAAAGCGGAGCTCAAAATAGTACATTCCGTATGAGAAAACTTATGTGGTTTTGCACCTCGTTTCCTGTTTTGCTGCTTCACGTATTTTGACGAGGGGAAAGACCATGTGGCAGATGATTTTACTCTGCTTAGTCAAGGAAATGTGGTACATCTATACCAGGGATGGGCAACTGGCGGCCCACAGTGTCTTTTAGTACGGCCCGCTGGATCATATTAGACTCGGATGATCAATTTTAAAACATTTGAAAAACAAGTCACTTCTATTGTTTAAATTAATATAATAATTGATACTTTTGACTCATCACTTTTCTTAAAAAATTGTTTAAAGTCTGAAATGTGAAGTGCAGATCTTAAAAAGGTCTTTAAAGGTCTTAAATTTGATTTTAAAAATCCTGCAGATACCAGGTTATTTTATGGTACCATTTAGAATACTATTTTTTTTTTTAATTAAGCCTTTAACTGTCCTTTTAGGTTGTTTTGAGAATGTTCTGTAGGCTACTAATAAAAAAAAAGGACCTCTGTATATTTGTTTGTTGCAAATTTATAGACAATGCAATTGAAATGTTTACATTGGCTAGTCAGGGTAATATTTCTGTCCACTGACAACAAAGTTTTCCTTCTGAATTAGCATAACTGCACAAGTTTTATACTTAATAAAATCTTTAAAAACAAATGACATTAGTTATACTATAATTTCCTTCAATAAAAATTGAGTAAGACGGTGTAAAAACTGTGTGGACGTGGATTAGTAATCTGGCCCCTTGGTATAAATTAACTGTCCTTTTAGGTTGTTTTGAGAATGTTCTGTAGGCTACTAATAAAAAAAGGACCTCTGTATAATTATTTGTTGCAAATTTACAGACAATGCAATTGAAATGTTTACATTGGCTTGTCGGGGTAATATTTCTGTCCACTGACAACAAAGTTTTCCTTTTGAATTAGCATAACTGCACTTTTAAAACAAATGACATTAGTTATACTTTAATTTCCTTCAATAAAAAGGAAATTGAGTAAAACGGTGTAAAAGGTGTGTGGACGTGGATTAGTAATCTGGCCCCTTGGTATAAAGGAGAACAAATGATGGCCCTCGTCACTATCAAAGTTGCCCATCCCTGATCTATACAGACAGGTTCAACAACATTATTACCTTAAAATGAATGTGCACCACCATTTGAAATTCAGATTAGAGTAATCTTTTTATTATCTATTAAAAATAATAGTGATTAAAATATTTGAACATCATTTGAATATTCTTATCAAAAAGCACTAAGATAAACTACATTTAATATTAGTTAGTTTGTTACATTACAGAAAAATAAAATAAAATCAGATGGCTTTGTTAGAATGTATGTAACAAATGAGTAGTTGACTTTAAAACTGGCATGTCCTGTGGTGTGACATGCTAAGCCATCTGAAATCATTTAGCAATTCTTTTAGAATTATTAAGCATCTTATGTAAACCTAAAATAATAATAATTGAGAGATTACATGGAATATTTGTGCTTTTAAAAATATCTGTATCACACCACAGGGCCATTTAAAAGGTAAACAGCTGTTTAAAACTGGCGAGAAATTTTTTTATAGATTTATAATTTATTAAAAACCAATTATAAGACTATTATAATTATAAAATATTCACTTCACCCCGATAAATTTTAACCTAAAATTCTGAATGTTGATTTAAAAACTCCATGACGCAAAAGCAAAAGTCCATGTCAGCTACCCCCATTACATTGTCATTGAAAGTCCTCCACAGTTCTAAGAGGCTGAAGTCTAGTGCCCTATTTACAATTAAGACCCTGCTGTTTCTTAATTAATCCCACACAGGACTAGCAAGTGCTTTAAGTGAGCTGACGACTGCACAACACTCTCCATTCACTGTCAATTGGAATTTCACACAATCAGAATCTTATAGACAGTCTGATTGGCCAATAGTAAGTGGATGTTGCTTAGTTGTGTGTGTCTTGTAAATGAAATCTAGTTGGGCTTAACCTACAAATCCTCAGACCGGTTTTACCTTCATTCTGATTGTTCCTCAGGAGGACTAAATCTTCCTGCATTTTGGCAACAGGACAGGCAGAATTAGTGCAGATGGTATTATCTGCAGGAGGGAAATCAAAACCATTAGGGCTTTGTTCATTTAAGGTCCACTAATGTTCCATGCTTTTACTTTTTCACTCTGTGAAGTCTCGTTTAAAGGCAAGAAAATGTAGAAAATCTGGTTTGTCCTTTAATTCATGTTCATAATGATCTGATAAACACTTGTAGGGTATCAGACCGAATCAGACAATCTAAGATTTGGTCACGGATCGTTCTTTTTCATTATCCATTTGATGGTTGACTGTCAGTCAAGCTAGTTGCTTTATGAGCATTAAAGCATAACAAGGGTGTACTCTTGCAGCTTAGTCATGTGATGCAGAAGGAAGAAGTTTAGGAAAATTTATAAAATATCTCTCAAAATATCACATACCTAAAGCTTCATTTTCAGAAACAGATTTTGGTAGTGAACTGAAAGAAGACACAAGAAGACATTTAAAGAAAGTACAAATATTCACAGAGAGTCATTTTGTATTATCTGTCAGTATGAAAGCCTAAAGGGCTCTTTCACTTTTGCTTAGACTGGAAGTTCAAAATTTTTTTCTTTGTTCACTAAAAACAAAGACTGAACTCACCTTTGTTTCTTTTTTCTTGTGTTGTCTGAGTTGGTTTGTGAAATTTCCTGTAAATGAATACAGTATGTGGCAGTTGTATCATTTTTATCTAGAAATTTTAACATGCAAAGTCATACATTATTGTATATAATTATTTGAAATATGAATGTGAAATTATATGCATGCCTGGCATGTTCTCAAGATTTCGCAAGCCTATCATTTCAGGTTTCTGTCTCATAGACAGGCCTCAAATAGACCTTAATATATTTCCATATGGTTACAGCACAATCTATTAGCAGCAGCATTCATTTAATAGAAGCTCATCATGTCCACAGCAGTGTTATAACGTGCGTCCAGATGGCCGATACATTTCCCATGACAGTGCAGTATATGCATTCAACATTCAAGCAGTCATTTCTATAGTTACCATGGAGATGGAACGCCCCGCGCTTCTCCATTTGGTGGCGTCATCTGAGAGAACAGCTGGGCTGCAGGACCTGCTCGGGATGGTGTACACCTTAGCCTCACAGGACTCCTGCACGGCCTCATACAGGCTGTCCGTAGAGCCCTCCTACAAAACAACATCATGTCGGTCACAACCTGTGCAGCTAATAAAATGTACTTAAGACACACTAAAAATCTGAATTTATTACAAGGGTCTTCAATCCCTTGGTGGATAGAGAGTCGGACCTTGTTATAAACAGGTTTATTATAGTTAACTAAAACTAAAATCATAAATGGATTTATGTTAGAAATAAAATAAACTTTAAATAAAAATCTAAAAGCACTTAATCTTATAAAAACTAATAAAAATGACAAAAAAACAACAAAATTGCTACAACTTTAAAATTAAAATGAAAACAGAAAATATAAGATCACTTAAACTTATTTTGTTTCCGCTAGCTGTCAAGGCGACATTTCTCATTTTTATTTAGTTTATCTTAATGTACTAAAATAACTAAAACTAAAACTCAAATAAAAATTTTAAGACATAAAAAAACTAATAAAAATGACAAAAACACAACAAAATTATTAAAACTTTAAAATTAAAGTGAAAACAGAACATATAAAATGAAAACATTTAAAATATTAATACAAACTGAAATAGCATCTCAACTCAAAAATAACCCTGGTTATAAAATGCCTTGCATAAAATCGTTGCATTTTAAGCCTGGCCTATATTATATACAGCATATAGTATTATATTAATGTAAGTATTATAAGTAATATGTTAATTATCAATTTGCATATTTTGTTATGATGTTCACATTAAAATGATCATTGTTTATATACAGTCATACGCAAGAGCTTTTTAATTTTACTATCAAATTTATCATGGATGGTACAGTAAAACATTTAGCTGAATTTAAGCTTTAGCTTTGGTTGAAACTAAGTTCATATTGTATATTTATATAAAGCAAATTATTTTTTTCACAGAAATTATTTTGAGATTAATGCAGTACAACCACTGATCACCTAGGGTAAACGGATCCCCGTTTAAGACCCTGATTTATTACAGTGTTTATAGTGCATTTGAGTGCAAATTCATCTGTGCAAAAGATGACGCAAATAACCAGACGCATTAGTGAGATTAATGCAGTACAACCACTGATCCCCTAGGGGATCCCCGTTTAAGACCCTGATTTATTACAGTGTTTATAGTGCATTTGAGTGCAAATTCATCTGTGCAAAAGATGACGCAAATAACCAGACGCATTAGTTTGCTTACAGAAGATCAGACCAGCGTGAATTCAGTGAAGCGAGACCACCATTAATTATAAATTGCACAAAACTACACAACATCTGGCAGAGAAACTCAGCTAAATCTACACATTTCATAGATGTGTTTTGTTTTAATAAAATAAAATAAAAAATTAATTTAATTTAAAGTGGTCATGAACTGCCTTCTTTTTTATTATTATTATTTTATACTGTTCTCTGAGGTCCACTTAAAATGTTATCAACATTTTTACATAAAAAACATCATCATTTAGAAGTAATAGGCTATTTTCTGTCCTGTTTTGACCCCCGCTATGATTGGCTAACAGTTGTGTATGTTTGACAGCCTACAATCCTTCATAGATGGACGCTGCTGTAATTTAGGCTAAAAAAGCATAAATACTCAGTACATATCAAATGACCTGTAATAACAGACAAAGCAATAGTGACCATATAATAAAAACAGTTACTCACACTTCTGTGGTCCGAGATTACTGTCGGATTCAATATAGTCGGCACAGCATCGTCTTTAGTTTCAATCTTTCTGAAAATCCTGCATCTAATTGTGCCTTGTTTGTAAACGAATCCATGGTAAAATGAAGTGAACAAAAGACCAAGTTCTTACCGACGTGGTCTGGAACGTCTTTATCGTTTGATTTCTGTGTAGACCTGCGTTTGCCTCTCTCGTTATTTACCTATACTACCAAAGTCCCTTTAAGGGTATTCTATAGTCTTTGTTACTACATGTGTGATTCAGTGGGCGGGACTAAACAGGCAGTTATGTAGGAGCAGGCTTGATCTTCTTCTGTGGAGGTGGTCCTTAGCCACACTATTACATCATAAAGTGGCACATTTCACAACCTGTCCTTTTGGCAGATTGTCTTTAATATAAGCTATTTTCAGACTAACAAGAAAGTTTTGAGTTCTGAAACATACAGGGTGTTTTTTTTATAGTACAATGACCTCTTATATGTCAAAAGATGAAGGAAGTTTTAATTTCTTAGTTCATGGCCTATTTAAATATTGTGAAGCTAAGATAAAAAATGATATATCTTTAATGCAAGGGCTACAAATGTTAGCCATAGTAAACATAGTGACTTGACTTCTTAACTAACAGAAAGCATAACAAAAGGCCCTTGTTGAGCAGCTAAAGCATGGTTCCTGATCTTCATGCACTATCACATGTTGCCTTCACATCCTCCAGTAGGTCACGTTCTACAATCTACAAACCACAGAGTAGAAAATGTGAATCACATCTTACCAAAGAGAAGCAGAAGAGATTCATTCTGGAAAGGATGGTTTCTTTCCAGTGCCCACAGCACAGGATGAACAATAGGACGAGTCAGAGGCAGACAGAGATCAGAGTGCTTAGTGTTCCAGGCTACCTAATGCTCCACAGATTAATACTGAATGACATCCTTCCTCTAATCCAATAGATGTGGAGGACCATTACCACTCCAGACAGCCCCTCAATCTACTGCTGAGCTCGTTAATGCTGATGTTGTTTACTTACTAGAGAACTGGTTTGAGAGCTTTTGTTTGCACTATGACAAATTCGTACAACAGCCGTATGTGTAATTTACTGTAAATGCCAGTCATTGGTGTAATTTAAAAATGTGGTACATAGGCATGTAAAAAAAAATTTTTTTTTTATTTTTTTATTTAAAACAGTAATTTCATAACATTGTTTTTGGATGCTGCACTTACATACTCCAGACAACTAAAATTAAAGTACAAATAAACTTTTGAACTAAAAAAAAAAAAAAAA